CTCTGCTGCTTCTGCTGTTTTGAGAAGAAAAGCACGTTATCACCTGTCTGTAGCCTATGAATGTTGTCTAGGCATTCCTTATTGTAGGCTCACTGCTGAATTTCACCCACTTAGTACTCAGAGTATGCACAACCAAAGTCCAACTTAAACTCAACATGAAGAGGGTGACAGGGCTGTGATGGACTGTGACAGGAGGTGGCTTCTTTACGGGATAACAGCAGTTTTTTAACTGGCTCATAAACAGGGGTGAAAAGTTTGTTGTATCCTCCAACCTGCTGCCCAGAATAGTCATAAAATATCTGTGCCACCCTCCTAAACTATGTGAAGGACCTGATCTGCTGAGATAGTGCAAAACTTTATATTTTTAGCAGTTTCTTCAATCTGCATAAGGATGTTAGCATGCCTGAGCTTGACGGTTGCAGAATGAAAATAAAAGGGCTCAGGAAATGCTGCAGTTAATGGCAGCTTGAAAATTGTATCTATATAACATATATGTACTGGTAAAAAGTAGGCAAACTGACAGATTATAACCATGGATAAAATGCAATACATATATGACATGTACCATATATGACACACATACTGCAAAGATAACCTTAACAGATCTATCCCTGGTATTTTTTCTCTCCCGTCCAACATACTTGTATTTCAGGGTTTGCCTTTACATTCCTAAATTGAAACTGTAACATTCGATGGAAATAAGAGAAAGAATGACCTGGAAGCACATGATTGTTTGGGGTTTTTTTTTGCATCATAGATCATTTACATTCTTCAGACATAAACTATGTGAGGTTATTTAAAATGTGGCTACAACGTCACATATAGGTAGTGCAATAACTGAAATTCAAATGAATTATTTCATATTTGTGATTTTTTAACTCCACATTACAGCAGAACTTGTCTTAGCCAACCAATGGAAGGATGAAAAAAAATATGCACCTTTAACTGGATGGCTCTTTAATAAAGGTGAAGTAGACTTTTCATGAATTAGCACAATGATCATTTTGAATAATCTCTGGAGACAGTAACTTGCCAAATATTTGGAGAAGTTTTGTTGTAGCTGATGCAGAGTTTGTTGAAGATTATATCAGTTGAATTCTGGGTTTACCTTTCTTGTGCTTATTAAATACAAGGCATAGTACAAAACCAGTGATGCAAAGAGTAAGTCTCTCACTGGGCTGCATCAGCCAACTCACTGTCTAAAGGCATTGTTCTTTAAAAGCATCAAGTACCTAAAATCACTAAGTACTGAAAATGCCAATAATTGTTTTGCTATCTAAATTTTATGAAACATATGGACATCTGCAATTATTTTATTTCAAATGGCTGATGATTGTTGCTATTTATTCCCTCTTTAGACTATAAAAAAATCTAACTTATTTACTGTGGCACTCCTTTGATCATTGTATAATTACGTAATCACACAGTTCAGCCAAACTAAGAACACCAGAAAACCACTTCACTCTTTATAATGAGCAAACTTTAAAATTCACCCTTGTTTTTCCACTTAAATGGGCAGCTTCATCTTTTATTTATTTATTTATATATTTTTTTTTAAATATAAAGCATGAGCTATTTTCAGGCCCCTCAAGGAAAGTCATGGTGTGTAATATCAAACTCTTTGATTTGTTGCTGGCATATACATTGCAAAATGTCATCTCCTGTTGTTAATGGTCATGGCAAGAGAATGCTTATGATCATTACTGATTTGTATCACTGGTTTCTTCACACTCAGAATCACTTCAGTAAACACAAGCAGACAACATAGTGAATTTTAGTTCTGAAGAACCGTACCTCAGACTGAGCCTCCTCTTTTCTCTGAAAAGTCAATCAGATTAGCAGTATACATTTATACAGCTCTCAATGAATATAAACTAGAAGGAAGTTGTCTGTGGTATGCAGAATTGTACAGTCAACTCTTGGTAGTCTGTGGGTGTGTAACCCAGGTTGCAGATTAGCAGTGCTGTGCTAAAACAAAAAAAGAAAAAAAGGAAAAACACACACCATTTTTCTTTGAATTCTGACCTCACTTTTTACTTCAGCTTAACTTCACTCCTTGATAAATGTAACAAACACAGGAAGTCCTTACCTAATGTGCATATGCTTTGTATTACCTGTTACAGATTTATGTGGGTTAGGATACTCCATTTCTATTTTCAGTAACTAAGAGTTGACTGTGCAACCATGAAAGAGCCCAGTTACCCCCAGTTTTATTTGACATTTGCTAAAAAACAATTGCTTGTCAAAATATCTAATTCACCTTAAAAAGCATCAGAGTTCCCCTTTATATTATTTTTTTAAACCCATGAGTAATAACAGCTTGCTGCAATACTGGACTTCTATTAATATAAGTAAAATGTTCACATGCTTGAAAGGCAAAGCAAAGACAATACAAGGGAACAAACTCAATGCACTTAAAAAGAGATAGAGTCAATGGACTCGTCTGCCCCCAAAGACTAGAGACTGATGGAAAGCTATTTTATAATTAGAATCTGTAGCTGTACCAAACCCCTTGTATTAATTGGCTAGCTGCACATTTTATTCATTTAGAGGGTCGTTAGCACTGAATATGCTGTAAAAAAATCGTTTGCTCCTAGGCAATGCAACAATAATAAAGGTTTCTTCATGAAGGAGTTAGGAGAGGGGAAGTTGTTTCCTGTTGCCCCCTTCCCCATTCTCATTTTAATCTGCAGAACACAAACAGCATCTGCTTCACAGCAAAGCCAAAAGACAGTGACAGCCAGTGGGTCATGGAATGATGACTCCATGAACTACTAAGGCAGCTGGAAAGAACTGGTGGTCTCTGTCTTCACAAAGGGAAAGCAGACATTAACAAACCTTGGGAAGCTGCTGCAGGAGCTTATCTGCTGGGGAGGAGGGATGGCTGAGGCATTTTGTAAGGAGCAGGAGAAAGATAAGACTCACTATATGAAACATTTAATTTTGAAAGATTGATGGAGAGGCTGCCAAAAGGCCAGTGGGGCAACAGAGGGCAGGAAAGCAACAGGGGCAGACAGCCTTTTCTCCACTGAATCTGTTCTTACTCTTTTTTTTATGCCACCAGGAAAATTAAAGCTACTAACTTCACATTATGCATGAGCATACAGATATAAAATAGTATGACATTCTTTGCTGTTCTAAAAGAAAAGACTAACCTACCAGCACTGTATTTGAACTTTGGCAACAGCTTAACTCCTGTATCAAAATGAAAGCAAAAGGCTTTTCATACTGTGACATAACAGTGCACTGAATTGGAATAAACCTTCTTGCTCCTTTGAATTTATACCCTAACCTGTTAGGTTTGATATGCTGACTGGGATCAAAATGCCAAAACCTGCAAGCTGCTTTAATTCATGTATACATACAATTCTTGTAGGAATGTCTCTAAACTACTTGACATCCTGTGCCAGTGAGTTCCACTGAAGTAATAACTTTGCATAAAATATTACTTTGTATGTTGCGTTTTAATTTCCCTGAACATCCTCTTGTTCTTTTAACAACAGAGAAAATAAAAGGAAATACTTCAGTTGTTTGCTGACTGCTTACTGGAACAATTATAAAAATTTGCTTAAAAAAAGTACTTCTCCTTTGCCATGTAGTAATACAGTTGCGCATTTTGCAGCTAGCCGAAGGAATTATATTCATATCAAAAGAAAAACATTTAGCAAAATATTTGCTTTCAGACTTGTTTACTGTTTATTATTTTAATTTACATCAGTTACTGCTTGCAAAACTTCCAGGGAAATAATTTTGAATGGTTTTTATTTTTTCTTTTCCCACTGCATAGTAATTACAGCCTTCTCAGTATTTCAGAAGCATAGTACTATAGAAATGTTAGGGCCTGCTTCTGCTCCAAATGAAGTTAATGGGAAAACACCAACTGACTTTATTAGGAGTTAGGTCAGGCCCCAGATATGCAGCTTTTGAAATTTCATAGTTGAAAATTTTCTGGCTAATCTTCAAAACCGACTACTTCTACAACTATAACACTATTTACAACTTTATTTATATGTACTTCTTTATTACAATATGTAATATCAATGTTCCTTGTAAAGGTTACTATTTTATAGAAATTAGACTGAAGTTATTGCCAATCAACCTTTTAATAAACTTAAGTGGGTTAACTTTCAGATTTTTTTCTCCACATACGATCCAGGTTTTATTCACTCTTGCTACCTTTGACAATTACTTAACTACCTTAATTTCAAAGCCTTTTTCAGTGTAATAAAAAAGTCCTTTTGGTAGAAGTTTATTGGTCCCATTTCAAATTACGTTCTGAAACATTCTTGTACTGATGAGGACTCATTATTTTAGCAATTTTTCTGTTTCAACACAGTATATAAAGCCATGCCTCTCAACCAATCAACCTCAGTATAAAAGTGTAAGTGAGGTCAAACAGATTGCTCACCAAATCTTTGATCAAGCTGTCTGATCATATATAGACACAACTCTCTGAATTGTTGCATATGTTGTATAATGTTATCATACAAATTTAAGCGTTTCCATTATTGACTGCTGCTTGTGTATGTCTATATTAACTTGCTGGTCATAAAAATACAACAAAGGACAAGATATACCAATACTGAATTAAGACCTCTAGTCTTGTCTCTCCAAAAATTAAGAAAAATCCATGTTCTTTGTGATTGACCAACTCATGATGTTGTGCTTCAAATATACACATTTTCCAAAATTAAACTGTGAAGTTAATGTCAAATACTGTGTTGTAACTTTAAATATAGCTGACATATTAGAACAGATAAATGGGTAATTATGATAAACTACACAATAGTGCTACTGTAGATAATATCATTTATCAATCCTGTGGTCCTCATCATTCATGCATTTACAGTTTGGGAATACAGTGACTGCAAAGGATAATAATTCATAATGGCTACATTCTCAGTACTTCATGCTACCTCACTAGACAAAATAAAAAAGGTTAATTGTATAACTGGAAAAATGTAAAATTTTATTCCAAGAAAATTAACAAGCTACACAGGTAAATTTTGGCAAATGCAACTTTATATTGAAATCCACACATCTGTATCTTAAAGAAGGAAAGACTCACAGACTCTAATGTTTTTCTAAAATACTAAGAAATCATAGTATATGCTTTCACAAGTTAAAACTTAAATAATTTAAAACAACCAATACACCAAAATGTGCAGAAAATATAAACAAGACTGTGCCTTCAGTAGAATAAATGCTTCACAAATTGTGCAAGATATCATACTAAGGCTGCGGTCTCCCCATGACAGCTGTCTTAAAATATAAACATACATCAACTGCCTGTGTTTCTCAGAACAAACTAGAAAGGGCGGCACACCTAGAAAAAAATCATATAATCCCAGTGATGTGCATACTTATTTTGGGAACCACTGGAGTAAAAAGGAAAAAAGAGGACTAAGTGATCTTTCATGCTCTCCCAAATGACTGACCAGAGTTATTGATTCAGTTTTCCTTGCTTATTTGCTTCAATGCTAAACAAAATGGAAGATACTAGATAACCCTTTAAGGCAACATGTGTTTATTCTGTATAACTGCTCAATTATGACTGGATATTATCATTAACGTTGCCTAACAGACTGATATCTAGCTTTTTAAAAAATATAGGAGTCTACTAAACTTTATACCAAATCAGCAAAAAACACAGAATACAGTTAAATGTTAGTAATTTCACTGTTAGGGAAAATGGTATTTAGAAAGAGTAATATATTTTGGGGAAAAAAAAAAAAAGAAAAAAAAAAGTCTAAATCTGACCAAAAATACTGCTTTGGAATGCTCCCCAAAACTTACTCACAAGGCAAACAGATTTGTAAGTATGATAATCTAATAATGCATGGCACATCTTTAATCAGTTACAGTACTTGAGTCCCCAGTTTTCAGTCTTTGCAAAACAATAATTGTATGAAATGTTTTAAAGGTCTTCAAATGTCTAAAATTAGTTTTATCAACACATTAACCTCATATCAACTTAATTTATTAAGATGTCCAATGCTAATCTTTTTGATGGTCTTATTTTATGTAGTGATATACACAGCATTTAGCACTGATACTTAGCACCTGCTACTTTCATAATCTAGATTTTAACCACATAAAGGAATTCAGGGCAGTAGTTCAGTCCTTTGTTCTTAATTACAAACCTTCAGCAGTGGTCAGCAGGAACATGTTTAGGTTTAAAATAGGATTAGAGGTGAGCTATTGCAAAGACTGCAGAATGTTGCCCAAATCCTTACAACTGCTGACATCCCATTCTTGATTTTCTCCTCAAGACATGGCTACAGGCCACAATTGCTTAGCAGAGAATGGTAGTGTTTCACAAGGCTAAAGATTTACAGATGCTCCCTCATATAACACAGTAAGGTTCCCTTGGTAACCTGGATTTTCTGCAGTAAAGAAGGGTTGTGCTGAAACAGCGCCTCAGCTCCCTGTTGGAGAAAATGCAGACAAAAGGATTGATTCCAGCTTGGGCAAAACTCATCCAGACAGCGGCCGTTAGAAATCCCCCCGGTACTACAGGCCCTCTTGCAAAAACTCTCCAGTAACAGGCTACCAAATAGGGACCCCACAAGGTCAGAAAGAGGAATGTCATGATGTAGAACATTCTGCTGATTCTCTTCTCCATTTTGAACTCATCTAAAACCAGTAGCCTTCTCCTGCCTGTGGTGTTCGCGTTCTGCCTGATTCCCAGCAAGGTTGGAGGTGTGGGACCCCTTCCAAATCCAGCCAGCCAATTAGCAGCTGCTTGACCACTTGCTCCAGGACCATGAAAAGTCCAGTTCTGGCTCACTGCTGCAACAAATTGGACTGGCTTCATTTTCCTGCGATCGTGAACAAAAAATATCAGCTTGAGGTAGACAAGCTGTGTGGCTAGGAGGATAAGGGCAAGAAGAAGCATAAATCCCAAGGAATCATTAGCCCTGAAGGAACGATGCTGGAAAGTGCATTGGTCTTCCTCCCTAATGAACGAGTAGGTGCCCACATCTAAAACTGGGGGGAAAGCCATGGCTACAGAGAGGGTCCACACCATACAGATAACAGCCAAACAGGTCCAGAAGGTCAGTCTTTTTGTATAAAAACGGTGGTGGGCAATAGCTAAGTATCTGGTGACGCTTATGCAGAATAACATGAAAGCAGTGTGAAAGCAGGACAAAACCCCCAAAAAGGCAATCACTTTGCAAGTAAGAGTCCCGTACGTCCAAGTAGAGCCATTTTTTACAGAGGTGAAAACAAATGGGAAACAAATTGCAGATCTGAGTATATCTGAGCAGCAAAGATCCAACAGGAAGTAGTAAGGAGCTCTATGCAAGGTCTTATCTTTGACTAGCAAAATGGAGATCAGAAGGTTACCCACCACACTGACTCCTATTATGAAACCCAGTGAAGTCAGTTTCAGAAAAGCTGTTAAAGGAGAGAGATTTTGTAAAATGTTGTCAGCTGCATGGCTGTAGTTCGCCATAGATGGATGGATGATATGTATATTGCCTCAGTCAAGTCTCATGATCTATATTTAAGAACAAGGAAAAAATAGATCCATACATCTTACTGAAAATGTAATCCACAAACAGAACTGATCTTGTGTCTAGTCATACAGTACATCCTCTTCTTTCTGATTTGTCATGCCATCAAAATATCTGAAAAAAAATCGAGCTATCAGTTCTTAAGTTAACAAGAAATGATGTCAGAAAGTGCTAACAAAGATGTTAATTTATGGAGAACCAAATGAAGTTGTAAATTTGAGTACTATTGTTTGTTTTTAAAAACCATGAGGCTTTTATATATATACACACATATATATACTTACTGTTTAGCATGATCGATTATTGGCATTTCACAGATTTGGCTTGTTACAGTTTCAGAACTGACCAGTGCCCCTTATATTTGGTAGCATATACAATTTTGCAGTTGAAGCCTCAGAGATTTTATGAATCAAAAGACTTCAGGTTTGCAAGCTCAAGAGCTAATCACTGACATCTTAAAAAAAAAAAAAAAAACAGAAAAGAAAAAGAAAACAAAGACTGCTGATATTTTGACATTACCTACATTTATTTTATGGCTACAGTATTTGTCAATGTTTTAGAAGCAGCTGCTGTGTTGATAGCGATCACACCCAAAGAAACCCTGCAGAATTTATGTTTTTAACCCAAGTCACCAAAGCACATTAATCACACTGTGTTAGTTCATGCATATTGTAAGAGAAACAGTATTCACGATCCCCTTCCCTTCCTCCTATAAACCGTAATTCTATCATTTAAGCTCTCAAATAAACAGGTATACCAGACAGCCGATAGCATGATGCTTTAGGGGCTCCCTCCCCCCACCCCCTCCCTTTAATGCAAATTTTTAAAGCCTCAACATAATTCATATTAAGCAACGGTCAGTGTAAATACTGAGCAAAAATGGGCAATACACCCAAGACGTAATGCCCATCCTTTTGGAAGGCTGGTTTGGGTAATGCTTAAATAAACATATAATAAATTGATATTATTATTTTTTAGCTAATTAGGGCTCCGTGATTCCCACTAATCCTACCAGTGAATCCTACCGGAACACATTTCATGCAATAAAATAGCATAAAGAACTGCCTGATGCTGCTGGAGGGGGGTTTTGTTGTTGTTTTTTTACCCTCTCCCTCCAGAGCCAGGGACAGGAGCCACAGCAGCAATGATCAGGCTCCTTCGTTATTCACACCAAGTGTTTCCTATGCTACCTCGGGTGTACAAAGGATATTCCCACTAAATTCCAGCAAAACCCTTCCATTCTTACCGTCCACAAAAGAGTCTGATTGCTGCTGTGTAAACAGAGGCTGATCAGACCATGGCATCGTTTTAAAGCCATGAAATCAGGCTCGCCCTCCTCCCTGCCGCCAGCCCCGCCGCTTCCCCTCCTCTGTGGAGCTGTCCCCGCGGCGCTCCGGCCCTACCTCCGCACGACACATGGACACACACTGGCACCGACACACTGACACACACGCTCACTCACTCGCACGCACACGAAGCCGCCCGCTCCCCCGCGCACGGCCATGCAGGGCTGGACTGCGCCGCGCTGCAAGGCAGCCCGGGTGCCGCTGCCTGGCAGAGCCGCATCTGCCGGAGCCATGCGGGAGCCTCCCGCAGCGGGGAGCTCGGGAGAGCGGAAGAGGCATTGTCTGAACACACTTCCATCATGCCGCCTCTTTAGAAATCACCCCCCTCTCCAGACCCGCTCCCCGGGGGAGCCCTCCCCACACGCACCGGCAGCTGCGGCAGCCCTCGGCACCCCCAGACTGCCCCGGCCCCTCTCCTCCTACCTGTTGGTGCCGGAGATCCCCACATGCCAGAGCTGCGCATTCCCGCCGGCCGAGCGGTCTCTTTTAGCGCCTGTTTTATTTTCCTCCGCCGCCTGCCATTCTTCTTTCTCGCAATCCTTTTCCTTTTCTTGTTCTTTTTCCCCTTTTTTTTTCCCCTCAGTACCTTAGCTGAGCCCCGTCAGCGGCTGGCGCGGCGCATGCTCAATGCGCCCCCAGCTCCGTCCTCCCCTGTCGCAGCGGCACAGTCTCTCCCAGTAACGCTGCCTCAATGGGGGCAAGGCAGCTTCGCGGTAGCAGAAGTGTCCTCAGGGGTGGGCAGGCAGCAGCGGCGGCGGCAGCCTCCTCGATGAGGGGAAGGAAGCCTCGGCACCGCCGGCAGCAGCAGCAGCCTCCTCAGTGAGGGGAGAGCAGCCTCCGCGGCAGCACGTTCCCATCGCGGTGCATAGCCCAGCTGGATTTATTGGCGAGCCTGGGCAAGCCAGCTTGAGGAAGGAGAGGGAGAAGCGTTATGTCCTGCGCTCCTGGTTTATGCCTTTGAACTCCCCCTCCCGCCCCTTTCGCTTAAAGCGGGGGGCTCGGAAGCGCCTGGCGTGGTGCGCGTCGCAGCCTGTCGGGAGAGGGACCGGGTGGTTTCTTCGCCTGTCACCGCTTGGATCCTCCCGCTCGTCGCTCGTTTTCTTCCCTCCCGATTCCCACCCGGTGAATTCCTTCTCCCTAACCCCTGAGCCGGGGGGGGACGGGGGACGGGGGTCGCGGGGAGGGTGTCCCTCAAAAGTACGGCGGTCCGTGGAGGGCGGATTTGCCAAGATGACAGGGCGCTTCCCCCTGGGGTCCGCCGCCTTTCCCCTCGCAGCCGGCTCAGCCCAAAGCCGGCGCAGCACTGTCAGTGCGCTGCATGGCGACAGCGATGAGTTCCAGTGTAGCAGGACTCGCGCTCCCCCTCAGCGCAGGGCGGGCGCGGTGACAGCGGCAACCGCCGCTCACCGGCGGGGATCGGTACCGAGCGGCCCGATGATGTCATGCGGGCCGGGGGCCGGGGCGGCGGCTCCGCTGGGCGGCCCGTGGCCTGTTCCGCCGCAGGGGCCTGCCGTCGGCCTCCGCGGGCCCCGGGCCTGGCAGCGAGCCGTCGCGGTGGGACCGGGAGTGAACGGAAAGGGCTTGAGTACGGCTGAGAAAATCACGTCCCTCCGGCCTCCCACCTCCTTGGTTTTCATGGAAGTTTATCCGGAGGAGTGGGGAGGATTGCCCCAAAAGTAACTGGCTCTGACTGCGAGGCAACTGAGGAACAGCTTATTTTGGGTCGAGAGATTTGGATTCAGGGGAACTTCTTCACTGGGAGCTTCCGCTCCAGTCAAAATAAATCCTTCTGCGGGATAGATTTATGGGGTTGATTCATAATGTGTGTCACATCTCTGAGACCGTTAGTAGAGTGCAGGCATTTTTTCAGGCTGTTGTCAAAGTTCGGGTTCTTTTTTTTGGTACTTTCTAAACGGCGTTGGAATTTGTGGCCAAACCACAAAATTACCTTCAGTAACTGCCCCATCAAGCCCAAAGGTCTTCAGCCACTGGAAAATACCGTTATTTAAAACCCAAATTGCACTGTTTCAAGCATGTGATTAGCTTCAGGTGAAAATTATTCTTGAGCAGAAAACTCAGGGCTCAGGGACTACACGATTTTTTTTTTTCTTCTGTGAATGTAATTGTGATGACTGTGTTGGGGATCACTGGCATTTTAGGTTGTTATTAAAGTTACTACTTCAATCTGCGTTTTCATGACACGATCACCTAAGCTAAGTAGACCTCTCCAGCCATCCCTTTCCTATTGTTACATATATGTACCCATAGTGACAAGAACAGTGACTTTAGAAGTTAAGGTTAAAATGTGAAGGACAAGGAAATGGCTACTAAGCCAGCAAGAACAGGCATTTTAATGGCCTAATATAGCAAAGAATTCTCTGAATGCTATGGAGATCAAACACAATGCCAGTTTAGGAAGCAGATTTATAATATGTGGTACAGGATGGCTAAAGTATGTTCATGGTCAGCGTCTACTCTTTTACTCTAATGTATGGGTTTGTTTTTGTGAAGAGTAAATAATATTATGCCATCATCGTTGTAAAAAGAGTCAGTTCAGTAGTTTTTAACCTTTTCTGTCTGTGCTTCCTTTTAGAGATGTCACAGAAATATATTGCTGTATAACAAGAACTTGAACTTTCTTTTAGACCTCTCATAGACTGCTTACAAGTAATCTCTGGTCTTCAGAATTCAGTATTCAACCACTGGTTCACCATAAACCTGTTTGTCACTGTATGTGTAATCTGAGAACCGGTGCTGTAATTTTGTTCAACAAAATGTAGAAATCTAGACTGAAGCGACATATAACTAAGCTAGTTTGCCATCATAGTCAGTGGTGAGAAAAAGATGCGTTAGGGAGTGGATCATCTCATTCTGAATCACAAGTCTAAAATATGTCAGATGGATTGTACTCTATCTTCTTTATTTTAAGTCAAGACAAACCCTTGTTACCAAGGGAGATATTTCTGATGGAGCGTGACATAATGCTATGTTAAGCTGTTGTACTGGGAGCAGGTCACATCCCCCACAGAGGGAAAGAAAATCCAGGAGTCATGGGACAGGACTTTGGGAGGTGAAGACAGATGTCAGTTAAAGGTGGTTCCTGGAAGCATAAATCAGAAAATGAATGTGCAGTTGGAAGGGGAGGAGGAGGAGAGCTATGGAAGGACAGTGAAGAGGTCTGTGCTAGCTAGTTCTTCAGAATAGCTGGGCTAGAGATATGAAAGGTTCAGAAAAAAGTGTGCAGCAGCCTTTGTGGCAAGGATCAAGGGTAGCCTGCAGAATTTCTTGGGGCTTTGGCACAAGAAAGAATCCTGAACCCTGAATAAATTACCCACTACACAGTGTAAGGGGAGCAACACTAAGGTGGTTCAAAAAACCCAGAGGACCTGTATACTTTATTAGCATTTTAGATGAAAGTAGTGATTACTCAGAAAGTCAACCTTTCCCTCTTGTTTTTATTTATTTATTTTTACTTAAGTATGTAAGTGTGATTTTCCCCAAGAAGGAAAGCTCAATGGAGTATAAGTGAAGTGTAGGCACAAGAACATTTCTATACCCCATTAGAGCTTTTCTTAGAAAATGAGAGAGCCAAGACTGTTTCCCTGATTTTCTGGTTTAGATCAGACATGAACCATCGCCAGATTTGGGCAACTCAAGTGCAAAGTTACTGACAGTTCTGATACAGAGCTCTTTCATTTTCTCCTGTTGGATTTATTTAATAAGCATGGCCTAGAAAGTAACTGGTGAAGTACTCAGCTTTGTTGGTGGACTGAGTATCCTGTCTTCCAGTTGTAATTTTTTTCAATTTAAGTACTGCTTAAGAATAACCTAGAGGCTGGGTTCAGTGAACTGGACCTACTGTGTCCATTCCCAGATCAGGATCACCTTACTGAGGAATCCTGTTTGACATTCTTGGTCTTTGGTATCATTTGTAGGTCTGGGCAGCTCATTCCCCTGAGGTGGCAGTGATGCTTGGAAGCATGTGGCCAGGGTACCAGGAACTCCAGCACTGGGGTGGGGAACAGTTGAATGCTATTGCACAGGAACTTTGTTGATGTGTAAACAGTGTTTTGGGTACTTGGCACCTTATTTCTATTAACGATATGTGACTTGGAATCCTGTACCACAGTTGTAAGCCAGGTGAGGATGTTGGGTAGGTGATTTATTGTTTTGAGCTTTTTCTTCAGAATGGGAAAGGCTTTTGAGAAAATTCTGAAACTGAGAAATCTCACCAACTGAGTCAGAGTCAGAGACTGGTCTAGAAGACAGGCTAGTGATGATAAGTAGCAATCAGCTGAAAAGACAGGGTGAGATACTGGCTTCACCAAGGTCAATAGCAACTGTCACCAGTTTCAGAGGAATGAGGATTTCAGCATAGGACCAGAAGTTATAACTAGCTAAAGTGTAAAATACTTATGTTCCTGTTCTCCTGATCATTTAAGTAATTAACATATTTACTGGCTGCCTTGAAACTTGTACATCTGCCATGTCTATCCAGTCTGCATAATTCAGACTCTGAAGCACTGTAGGATTTTGCAATGTTTCTGCACAATAGGAGAGATGCTCTGCGAGGTGTACCCACCTCTGTGCAGAGGCCAGCACAAGATTTATGTATTGCTTAAGAGACTGTGATAGATACTACCAAAGTACATAATTTTCAAAGGGCTCAAGGAATTCTTCCAAGGGAAATTTCTTGCCTGTGCAGTAGATTTGTGCAACTTTGAAATAGTATTTAAGTAGGACTTATGTAATGCAGAGACCTGTGTGAGACCCCTGCACAATGGAGAATTTCACCTGCAATATATTTGGTTACTGTGCTTTGTAAAGTATTTACACAGTAAAGATGCTTGTTGGTAGTGTCTGGCTCCTGGGTTGACTTTCAACACAGACATAAATTTCACCCCACAATGAAGATCTCGCTAGTCTCTGGCCCAGTGATGTATGATTCACCTATAACAAAATTGCATTCACGTGACTATAACAAGTTCTATGGATAATCATTGCATTTTGTTTTTATATTACTCTTTAGTCAGATCCTCAGATGTTTTATAAGTATTATTCAAAAAACTCAATGAGGTATTTTTAAAAAAATGTTTCATGGCTACCCTTTGAAACTTATTTTTTTTTGTACTTAAAAGTTGATCTATGTTGCACATTTGCATAGGAATAAGTGAAGGTTTATGGGCAAATACACATAAGCTTATCTGCTAGGCATATGAAAAAAGCTTTGTCCTCCAGAGGAAAACCTCTGCTCTTTGTGACTCTAATGGGAGTGAGGCACCAAAATGCTCCTGTCAGACATGTATCCTCAGGCTTCTAAATACCTTTTATCAATTGATTCATTAGGACAACATTTGAAAACCTGAACACTTCTTTTGCATCTAGATTTTGTAGACACACTGTTAAACCAGTGTTGTAGCGTTAAGTGCAGCTTTTGTACAATTTTCATAGGGTGGACATGTAAATACTTGACTTCAGTTGCATATCAGGTAGGTAGAAATGCAAATGAACATCATTATGGTTCTGAATAATTACCAGTGTTAAATTGCACTGCTAATTACTTGTGCTTGCAAAAAGATCAGCTACGTTTTTTAATTGCCGGACTCCACAAATGGCCTTATATATATATACGTATATATATACACACATATATATGCATACACATACACACACACATATATATATATGATTGAGAGAGAGAGAATAAGAGAATTAGAGAAGCAAATCAAGGTTCAAATGCAGTCTTTGTTGTTGTATGCATCTTGTCCTGTACTGAAAAATTACCATAGTGCTTGTTTTCAGAGCCAAGGTGGAGTGTTAACATGTAACTTCAACAACATACAGCCAATGACATCCACAGTGACACAGATCAATGGATGACCTCCACAGAATGAAAAAAAAAATTAAAAAGGACAAAAAAAGGGGGAATCTTTCTAGTATCTGAACAAGAAGGTCATAGGATCACAGAATGGTTTGGGTTGGAAGGGACCTTAAAGCTCATCTAGTTCCAACCCCCCTGCCACGGGCCTTCCATTAGACCAGATTGCTCTAAGGCTCATGCAACCTGGCCTTGAGTACTGTCAGGGAAGGGGCAGCCA